CAAATCATATTTCTACAGATAGCGAACATTTGTGAAAAAAAGAAACTATTTGAAAAGTATTTTGAAAAAACTTTAAAATTTTTTTTTTAAGTCATGTTTATTGAAGTAGAAATTTCCTTTTATATTACCCCGCTGTTATCTAGGGACCCGGAGTTGCTTATTAGTACATTGGGCATCAAAATGGAGCACAACTTGATTGTCGATTTTGGTTGAAAGAATTTTTCCTTGAAATGCTAAAGTGGTCATAATGTGGAATTAAAATTGATATTGAAAAGAAGTGAAAAATTGATGCTTTGATATTTTATGTCATGAATTTGAGGTAAAGTGTAGGTAATAATGATAAGGAGTTGACTCATTGCACTTGATTTGATGGCACCGTAGTTGAATTAAAAAAATTTTGGGTTAGCTTTTGGTGTTTTTTAATTGTGTGAAATCAAGGTAGTGACGCCACAATTTTGTAATATTTGACCAATACTATTGTTATCAGAATTTTTGATTGTGTTTTTGGTTTTAACGTCTGTTAGAACACCCCCTGAAAATTGTCGAGAAAATCATTGAGAGAAGATTAACGTCGTGGATCACAATTGGAAATTATCAATTTTGTTTTCTAGCGGGTAAATCAACAATTCATGCAATTCACATCCTTTGAAAACTGCAAGTGTCCAATTTTGTTTGTCCTGCTTGCATCAATCCTTAACAACAAATTCAAAATAGCAATTAAGGTAGAATTTCGAAGCAATTTTGAAGCCATTAAGGTAGAAAAAGTGACATGGTGGCAATATCTAGGGGATGTTCTGGATTGTACTGTAACAGCTGAAGCTGCCGTTCGAGCACGCATGCGTGCAGCCTGGAATGAAACGTCCGATGTTGTTATATGGTGCAGAAACATGGCCAATGACAACCAAACTGGAACAACAACTTCAACGAACCGACATAAAAATGCTCCGATGGATGCAACGAATTAGTCTGAAGGACCACATCAAATCTACCGAAATCCTGCGTCGTGCTGGTTTAGATGATATAAAGGATGAATACCGGCAACACCGTCTGCGGTGGTTTAGTCATGTCAAACGACGTGGGAACAGTGCCATAACTTTTCTTGCAGATGTTGAAATACCCCGGAACACGTCCCAAAGGCCATCCAAAAAAGTCCTGATCCCAAACAATCGAGCAGGACATGAAAGCTCTAAATTTAAATGAAATGGATACAACTGATCGTCTAATTTGGGGCAAAAAATTGATGGCCAAAAAAACAACGTCTTACCTGGGGGAACTAGGTCTCTGGACGCTAAACGAAGATTGATTGAAACATGGCCAATGACAACCAAACTGGAACAACAACTTCAACGAACCGACATAAAATCTTATTTGTGTTGTGGGTTTTAATTATACGTTTAATACTATATGAGTATAATGTTGTTGTTTTAAGCACATGTTGGTGGCGCGCAGTCACCACAATTTTTTAAAAATTGACAAAATTCTCGAAATGATTAGTTTTCCAAACCACTTTTTTATTGACAGATTGACAACGATATTTTTAGTCACAATTGTAGATTTTTATCTGCAAAATTCCC